ATGTGATTCCTGAAGGTCAGTTAGAATTTATATAAGATGAGAGTGTTGCTGTTTTATAATTCAAAAGTTTATGTTCATTAATTTGCTATTTAAAAACCTATTCACCGTGAAGTGTAATATCTCAATAAGTAGATTTTTTTTTTATATTTTATGTATGTACAATTGTATTTTTTTTTAATATTTAGGTGTCAAAAGATACAATAACTTATTACAAATATACAAAGGGATGTTTAAAAAAAACGTACGAAATCCCAACCTCCGTGAAGCTCTAATATTTAAAATGTATGATTTCTTAAAATTCTTGCATTAGTGCAAAACCACTTATAGTCCGGTCAATCTAGACATTCGAAGGTACATAAATTTACAACAAGCGGAAAATCAGTAAAATTGTTCAGAATATAATTATTAATAAAATTTTAAAGTTCCCCATCATTCCCCTGTATGGAAAAAATTTTATTCAAGGTCAAAGGTCAAAAAAATGATTTTTCGCGATTTTCAGCAAAACGGTAAGTTTTATCATAAAAATACACCAGACAAAAATTTTAGATCATAAAATAATCTATAAAAAATGTATCAATACTTTTTTTCTACGAGCCACCGTTTCTGAGATATAACGATTCGAAAAGTTGTAAAAGTTATAATCGCCATAATATGCACACGTTTCCACGCCACCTATGAGGTAGTTTACTAAGCGCGTTTTTAAACGTGGTTTTCCCAGTAGGCCTATTTCACGGGTCACTTGTGATCCTGTTGCAAAATAACGGAAATTAGCAATGATTGGAAAAGATAATAGCGATGTAAATTTAAAAAAAGTACTGAAGTTTATTCGTCTGATTCGTAACATTTAAATTCTTTTTCTTGTTCTTCTTGAACTTCTTCTTGTTCTTGTTCTTCTTCTTGTTGTTCTTCTTCTTCATCTTCATCCTGGGTTCAAGTAAATTGCGTCAATAGCGATGTATCGCATCTCACCTCGTTGGAATTAAATGAATCCTCCACTGTTGGTGATTCAACATTAGAGCACGACCGGCCTTGACAATTCGTACATGCCAGAGAATAAAACAGTCCGACTTTTTTACCACCGCATTTAGCACTGCATCCCTTTTTGCAGTTTGCAGCAAAAAATTGTGTTCAACAGTTTTTCCGGCGCAGGTGGGAGTAAAGTTTGAACTGGTTCTAATGTGTTGTTGACCAACTTCCAACCCTAGTCTGTAGGGTCTAGCTGATAACCAGCCACAATTGAACATGGTAATATACCCGAAAAAGATGTTGATGAGCAGCAACTGAGGTTGGAGGAAGACAAGCTAATTGAACTTGTTTTTTACCTTTAGAATTTTTAACAAAACATGCATATCGATACTTATCAAAGCAGGTAGTTTTTTTAGGAGCTTCGTATATAGAAAGAAGAAATTGAATGCCGATAACTTCTTGTCCCGAAGAACCTTTTCCTCGAGTTTGGACGAAAAATCTCGGCTCGTTCGAAAGTTAAGCGAAGACAACGGAACGTGCCAAATTTGACGGAAAAATCGTAAAAAAGTGGACTTGGACCTTTTCGACACCGGAAAAATTTGGTCCGCGGATAGGTCTCGTGGGCAGAAAAAAAGGATGCAAATTTCAACCTTCAACGGCCTCCGAGCTACGGCGCTTAGAAAAAGACAATACAGACAATGGAAAAAATAAATATTGCAAACGGGCCGGATACGCCGGCAACTTTTCGAACAGCGTTCTTTTTTTATTTTTTTCGAAAAATTTTCAAACGTTTTTTAGGTCGAGAGAAATTTTCGAAATTGGCCGAACGAAATACACGAATCGACGGGAAAAATACCAAAGTTTGACATACTAAAAGATGAGCTTCATCGAATAAAAACTAATCGGCCAGAAGCCCGTTTAATTTTTGTTGGGTATTTAAAAAAGTTAACCAATTAAAATCCTCGAAATCAAATCGATAAGGTGGCAAATGACAGGTGGCATATGACAGGGACAAATGACAGATGACAGGTGACAGATGACAGGTGACAGATCACAGGTGACAGATTTTAAGTGTAAGTTAAAATGACCTATAGAAAAATATTTTAACATATATTACAACTCTAGAGATACGTGTCGTGCATATTATGACGATTACAACTTTTACAACATTTCGAATCGTTATATCTCAGAAACGGTGGCTCGTAGGAAAAAAAGTATCAATACATTTTTTATAGAGAATTTTATGATCTACAATTTTGTTTGGGGTATTTTTATGATTAAACTTACCGTTTTGATAAAAATCGCGAAAAACTAATTTTTTTGACCTTTGAACTTGAATAAAAAATTTTTCATACAGGGGAATGATGGGGAACTTTAAAATTTTATTTATAATTATATTCTGAACAATTTCACTGATTTTCAGCTTGTTGTAAATTTATGTACCTTCACTGTTATTTTTTGGTCTAATTTGACCGGACTATTAGGTAAGTATGTCATGTTATTACTAGACCTACATGACATACCTAATAGTCCGGTGGCTTCCCAAAAAACCCCATTCTAGACTAACAGTGAAACAACCAAAAATAAAAAATAATCATTTTCACTTGGGGGACATCTCAATATATTCATATATATTTATATATTATTTATTTGTATATTAGGGTGCTTTTTTTTCACGACTATTTTTATTTTTTCGCCCCCAAAATCTTGTTAAAAAAAAAATTCCCTGAAAATTTGAGCTTAATACTAACTCAAAGTACTCTACAAAAGCGTATAAAGATTTTTTTTTAATTTTAAAGAGAAAAGATATATCTAACCTAAAAATTGATATAACGAGGTGTATTACATACAACATGTTATTTTATTAATAATTATTCTTGATTGTTCTAGTTATTTATTTTTCTCTAATCACCCGACTGCAGAAAAAACGTAATTACATGAAATTGTACTGATAAACAATTGAAAATCATCATTTATAAAAAGTTTGGTACGAAAATCCTGAAAATTTCATAAAATGCCAAAGCAAACGCTTTATATCTCAACAAATACCAATCTTAGCGATTCAACTGATAACACCTTTTTAAAGAAAATTAAATTTTCTACAAGTTTGTCCTTTTTCACTAAAATAAGATTTAGTGACTCGTACCATCCTACAGGTGCAGATTACAGCTATGGCACATAAAGCATTTTTGTAGAACTTTTGATTACGAGTTAATCCCTTTTTGAAACAATCCAATAGCATAAAATGCGGCTGTGTATTTTAATTGGGAAATCTTGTATTTAAAATTGTATTTAATTTTTTTGTTTATAATAAAAATATATTTTAAAATATAAAAATTTGTAAAAAAAACAAAAAAAAATTATACCTAATTTAAAAATAATATTTTGTTAAATAATAAAAATTGGAAAAAAAATATTGTTTTTCATAAACAATCCTAAGAAAAGTTTTTTAATTTGTTTTGTTCAAGGCCACGTCAAAGGACCTCTAAAACTCTACAGCCCCAGGAGGAGAAAATCTCTCTTGTTTATGTTAACTCTCTAGAAAAAAACCTTTATCCGAAATCGGCAGTAAAATAAAAGAAATCGGCAGTAAAGTAGAAAGTACTTTACTGCCGATTTAATACGAGTATATACATATATATATACGAGTCTAAAATGTATAATGGGTTGCATACAATATGCAACCCATTATACATTTTAGATGTTTCTACTGCTCCTCAGCAGCAACTAAATAATATTTAAAAAAAGCACCGTCGCGGATGTAGATTGGTCCCTTTCATAAAATAAGCAAATTAAAACTTAAAGATAATTTAAATAGTAGAAAAAGAATCGTGCGTTTTCTTGGTTGCCTAACCTCACTTTTTGTTTTATTATTCATATTTAATTTTACAATAATTTAATAAAAAATATTAAACATTAACAGTAAAACAAACGAATTAGTGCTTATTATAAATAAATTAAACCAGTTTAGTACGTTAATTTCTTAGAAAAGGATTAATTTGTCAAAACAATACCCCTAGCGAGAAAAAATCGAACTAATTACTTGCCTCACTAGGCCATAACAAGGTGTTTCTTTATCGAATGTTGACAACAATAATGTTTAAATTATAGACCGCGTGGAGATAAAGGTATTTTATTGGAAACTTTTAGTAAGTAATATTCTTGCGGCATCGTTGTCTAATATCCGTTCGTTCGAGGGTTATTAGCAATCGATAGAGCTCCCAATTAGAAATCAAGCGACGATATCCAATTATTGAGAAAAGGAAACGGTTCCGATACAATTTGGCCACCCATGATGATCGTCGTAAGATTTCCAAGACCTTCTTGGCGCATTGTTATTCAGCGCGAGTGTGGGGTTCGGTGTGGCGTTTTACGCGCCAATAAACTCGCCTGCTGATTGGCCGACGGGATCCGCCGGGAAACAATTGCCAATCAACGGGCGCCGCAGGCTTTTCCGCTTAAGAAACGCGACTCGGGTCCCAAAAGCTTCGCCATATATATCCCGCCGCAATTTGTTTCATCGAATTAGGCAAATCCTATCCCTTTTACTTACAGCATTACACTCACACGGCCTGTGAATTGTAATCGGCAAATTTGATATTCGACTCATTCCCCTGAAATAACAACCACTTTTTAATAAATTATAAGTGCACAGTCACATATTAAAGACAAATGCCTTGTCTAAGTTCTTTAAATATTAACAAAAAACCTATAATTAAGTATAACTTCCAAAAGACATTTAGTTAATCCATTTTGGCCTTCGTTTTCACATGATTTCTTTTTATTGTTAAGGTATTATTACGTCAATAAATAACCCAACGAAAGGTCGATAAATTAAAAATAATTCTCCAGTTATTTTATATTTTATTCCATGTTTGGAAAACAAGTTTAACGCCTACAGCGCCATCTATAGTTAGGTAGCCAAACATTACCCCTTAAAATACAAAACTCCTTTCATTCGTATACAACTTGATGGCTCACTCCCTAGATATCGCTGAACAAAACATAACATATCATTGTTTATCTATCTGTCAACCATATGATTTGATAAACAGTGAGAACTGTTAAATAAACAGTAATAACAAGTTTTGTTGTGTTTTAAATAAGACCTATACATAATTTTACAGGTTCATGAAAGATGAAAACAGTGGTGGGAAAAGTGGTGGTTTTGGGGCACCTAGGTAAGTTTTTTCGCTGTTTTTATTGATAAAATAGAATAAAATGTGATGTTGCTATTAAAACGTAGATAAAAAAAATAATCAAGGGCTATTATCTACAATAGGTTTGTAATCTACGATGTTATTATTTCTAAATTATTTTTATATTCATGTCTATTTTTACTAACCCTGCAAATGGGGCTGTAAAATATGACATAGATACCTACCTACATTGTATTTCCTAAAAATAAATATTTATTATTTATGAATGTTACATTTTTTTTATTAAATGTTTTCTTAAGTAGTTTATACAAATAATACCATGACATAGTTCTATAAATAACTATTTTTTAATGTAGAATTACCAAAACTATTAATAAAATTGAATCATTAGGATATTTTAATAATTTTTATCTAGTTGGTATTTTCTCCAGATAAAGCTTTACAAATAATCTATATAAAATCCTAAATAAATATTTTTTTTTATTCACACCTTCAAAAATACCATATTCGTACACAATACATAAGCTGTGGCTTTATGGCGCTTTAGTCACGGGCTAGCAACACGTTATTAGTCACGGGCTGAAGTTAGTTTTAAGTTGACAGTTGTCATATGTCACACAATCGTTAAAATAAAGTGCTTTTCTTGTAAAATACGCTGAAGAAGTATCGCTAATATCAAAAAAAAAACCGTGGCACGATTTGTTGTGTTGTTGGGTGTATTTCGAGAGGAAATCCTGGGTTGAGTTTTTATCGGTTTTCCAATAAACAGTGTTGATCCGAATGAAGAAATAAATTTCATACAGTCCCTGTAAATATAAATTGTATCTATTAGAAACAATAAATAAACATTTTAGTAATGATTAACGTGAAAAGTGTAAACATTTCAATTCAGTAAAAATGGTCAAAGAAATAAGTCGTCTAAATTTAAACAGCATTTAGCATTATTAAAAGCGTTGATTAAGAATTTTTTAAAGTCCCCACTCAACGGTAAAATACCATTATATTATGTATTACATATAATATTATGTTGCCATGAATTCGTAGGTATATTTTGTTGTTTAAAAAGCAGTTGTCGTTTTTTAGAGAAATGGTTGATTTTAAGGTTATGTTTGTGCAAAAATTATTTTTTACTAATTTCTTAAAAATGTCCAAACTTAAATATAAATTATATTGGGTAAAGTTATCATTAGTTAATTCTGCACCAACAAATGTACTTACCGCATTGGATCCTTTGGCAAAACATGAAAATACAACGATTTAGTTCTTGAATTTTATTTACAATTAAAACACAATACTTCACCATGATCCCTTAGATAAAATACACACACTAACGTAACTATATAAGCATTTAAGCGTTGAGTTTCTTAATCTAAACCAGTTTTTTAGTTTTTTCCTTGCAACGTTAAACACAAATAACGAGGGCGATTTAGCTGTGCAATTGAACAAATGAAATAATTTTATTTAACTCAAAATTTTTTTATAGGTGTTGGCAAGACTAGTACAATAACTAGATACGTAGAAAACTCGTTTAGCCACCAAGTCACCCCTACCATTGGTGCATCGTTTTTTACATGCAAAATAACAGTCCAAAGTATTCCAATCAAAATGCAGGTAAACGAAAAACAGTTATTTCCAAAGTTGTCTTTTTTACTTTAATCTAAAACAATTTTGAAAAAATGGTTTTTAGATTGTTAGATGAAACCCAAGTGAAAATTGACAAACAAAGTGTAGATTATGAGTAAAAATATGTAGTTTTGATTTTTTTATTCAAGATATGGGATACAGCGGGCCAAGAAAGATTCAAAGCCTTAGCACCGATGTTCTACAGAAACGCGAATGCTGCCATTTTGGTTTTTGACATAACCAATCAGCAATCATTCGATAGCATCAAAACTTGGGTGGACGAGTTAAAAAGAAATGTGGAGGAGGCTATGGTGCTATGCGTGGTGGGAAACAAGATTGATTTGATGCATGAAAGAAAAGTAGTTTTTTCGTTTAATCAAGTTATTGTTTTAATTTGTCGATTGTCTTTAGGTGAGCAAAGAAGAGGGCTTAAAGTACTCAAACAGTATAGGTGCTTCATATTTTGAATGTTCCGCCAAAGATGACCAGGTAAGAAATTTAGTTTTAACTTTATGAAATAAAAATAAAAGCTTGTTAAATATGGTTTCCAAATAAATTCATTTAACATTATCCGTTGAGATATTCTCCATTCTATTAAACAAACTATGGGAGAAAGAAAATTTACCCCAGGACTAGCACCAGGAAATAAGTATTAAACTACCAAAAGAAGGAAATGTGAGAATTGAAGAACAATTAGGAACACTTTGCAAACAAAATAATGACAAAAATAATAATAGATAAAGTGAGGAGAAATAACGAAAAAGTCCAGCCACCTTTAGATCAAATAGATCTTGCAATGCAAGTTACAAAGGTATTAAAGATGCTTTATGAAAAGTATATAGCAAATATAGAACATGAAGGAAAACTTTCTGAAGGAATTAGACTAGAAAAAAAGATCCTCTTCATAATAATTATGAATTGTGTAATGGAAAGAACAGAATCGGAATCAGCTATCCAACGCGTGTGTTACAAACGAGTGTTAAAAAATATCAAAAAAAACCGTGGCACGATTTGTTGTGTTGTTGGGTGTATTTCGAGAGGAAATCCTGGGTTGAGTTTTTATCGGTTTTCCAATAAACAGTGTTAATCCGAATGAAGAAATAAATTTCATACAGTCCCTGTAAATATAAATTGTATCTATTAGATACAATAAATACACATTTTAGAAATGATTAACGTGAAAAGTGTAAACATTTCAAGTAATATAGTAATAATCGTCAAACAAATAAGTCGTTTAAATTTAAACAGCATTTAGCATTATTAAAAGCGTTGATTAAGAATTCTTTAAAGTCTCCACTCAACGGCAAAATACCATATTATATTATGTTGCCATAAATTCGTAGGTATATTTTGTTGTTTAAAATGCAGTTGTCGGCGTTTTTTAGAGAACTCTAATAAAAAATGGTTGATTTTAAGGTTATGTTTGTGCAAAAATTATTTTCACTAATTTCTTAAAAATGTCCAAACTTTAATATAAATTATATTAGGTAAAGTTATTATTAGTTAATTCAGCACCTACAAATGTACTTACCGAATTGGATCCTTTGGCAAAACATGAAAATGCAACGATTTAGTTCTTGAATTTTATTTACAATTAAAAACACAATAATTCACCATGATCTCTCAGATAAAATACACACACTAACGTAACTATATAAGCATTTAAGCGTTGAGTTTCTTGATTAATGATATAAAGAATAATCAATCGAAATCGAGTACTAAACAAGTTTTTTAGTTTTTTCCTTGCAACGTAAAACACAAATAACGAAAATGAAGCAGGTGAAGCCACATTCAACCTTATATTTGTGTAGCATTTTGTCCTCACAGCTGACAATATCTATGAGTACTTTGGATACGGCTTACAATGGATCATAGGGAGATAACCCACTTAAGATTCCTAATTTAGATGGAGGATCAGTTTGGTTGAAATTAAACATGGAAGACCGATGTGGTATCATGAAATTACTCTATAGGTACTTTATTTTTTAGGGAGTAGGTGTCGTTTTCGAAAACATCGCCTTGGGCCTTCTGAGGATGTCTGTTGGTAAATCCAATAACACCCTGAAAGTTTATGACGACGATATAAACGATATAATGGCGAAATCGAGTGAACTGGATGCCACAGATGTGGGTAACGAAGAAGTAGTCAGTATTAGCATCAAAAGTATTGCGCATGGCGATACTGTCAGTTCAAAATGCTGCTAGAATTAAATATTGTTTTTACGTAAACAGTCACCAAAGCTCAGATTTTGGTGCGTATTTGTTTTATAAATTTAAAGACTGCTTGATTTGTGGTAACTAGAAGTTTAATGGGTACTAAAGTATTGTTTTTGTCTACATTGTGTAGATATCATTTTGTATCTTTGTAATGAACTTTTAACACCAGCATGAGGCTTATATACTTTAACTAACGTTTATAACGAAGTTTTTTTGTAAATAATGTATTTTTTAATAATTAAAATAAATAAAAAATTTCGTATCGTTTCTCTTCGCAAACCTTATTCTTAATCTCAAACCCCGTATAAACATTTCACTTATCCAAAATCAAGGGAAACAATCAGAGTGTATTATCTGGTCTGGATCATATTGGTTTGTAAACGGAACTGCCAAATATGCACTGTTAAAAATGTTTGTAAAATTACAAAATGTTGTATTGTAGTGCAATTTTAATACGCATTTGTTGTAATATTACATTTTGTTATACCCAAAGTACTAAACAGGTTCCAATTTTACAATGTTTTTGTTTTTGTCAGATACTTTTAGTAATTTTACAATTCTGTATTGTGGAATTGAATTTTGTAAAATTTCTATACATATTCGGAATTTAATTTTACTAAGATACTCAATAAAATTACTAACCAAAATTTGCTATTTGAATTACAATAAGTGTTTGGAAATATACAAATCATTATTTATTTTATATAACTTCTGTTTGCATTTTTACTATACCTATATCATTTTAATCATGAACACTGTTACTTACATTTTTTTGGAAAATTACAATTGTTTTGCAAAACAAAGGATGAGTAAAATTACAAATCAGTGTATACCAATACAAAATTGAGGAGTGATTTTTCAAAAGGCCTTATATCCATTTTTACTTGAATGTAATTCAATTTTTTTAAATCTTTACAGTAATGGGTCAAGAAAGTTTCTTGAAGAAACTAAGAAAATTGCGGGTTTTTTTCGTAGTATAATTACAATACCATCATTCGTAAATTACTAAATATTTTTAGTGTATTGTATTGTAATATTGCGAAACTAATTTTCTTCAGTTCAGTAAAATTGTAAAATATATTTTGTAATTTTTTTAAACTGAGTTGAAATGAATTGAATAGTATAATTACAATACACCATTTTAAAATTACTAAACATATTTAGTATTTCTTTAGCAAACATTATAATACCTGTAATTTTTAATAAATGCTTAGTGAATTTCGACAAACGTACAAAAATAAAATAGTTGGCTTCTTAAGGTAGAAATAACTTACTTCTGAATATTTTTTTATAAATTGACGGAAGTGTTGCAAAACACTTAATTAGTGAGTTAAAAATAATTGGTTTATAAATTTTTATAAAAGACATTCGAGGTGTATCGAATAACAGAAAATGTGTTTTAAATTTAAAAAACTTAAACGTCATAACTTACGGAATGAATAGCCCACAAATAAATGGTTACAGGTCGTTTGCTTTCGATTTTAACACATTTTTTGCCAATGTCATCAGATGTATAAGAAATTCGATCTTTTAATATACACTTTGTATGATTTTAAATAAATGCTAACTTCAACCCCTTGGTGAAGTTTGCTTTTATTAGGGCAAAAAGATCATTTTTATAAAAATTATTTATCTACAAACGCTGCTTTCAGTAATAGCATTTGCATTAATTATAAAGTAAATTTACGTTATGTTTATAAAATAACACTCTTCCAGATGCAGAAACGCATTGATAAATATAGTTATTATTATTTGTCAAAAAAAGCAGTTCTATACCGTTTACAAAAACGTTTTGTAGTATTAATGAAACCCTAATGGTATTATTCATAGAAATTTTGTAAATTTTACAAATTCCTTTTCGTTTAAAATAAAACTTTTTTTATAATATTAATAAAATTTATGTAAATTTAACAACAAATTAATTGTTAATTCAATAAACTATTTTCATTGTAATAATGGTCACATTTTCAACCTACTGTTGGGTGTTGGGTAGTTTTTTTTTAAATAATTGCAAGGCATCCAAACAAGTTATTTATTATAATAAAAAAATTAACTCATATCATGATGAACAAAATAAAAAAAATATGAACAAGTCTGCTATGTTTATAGAATACACATATTTCTTTTAGAAAACGTCGAAATTTTAATTTTCTTAGTGATTTTTTTGATATTTTTATCATTCTAGATTTACCACACTTCACTCGCACAATATCAATAAGATTATAATACAGACAGTGGATTATAAAGTTATGTTCACCAAGGAGAGCGCTGGCCCTTTCCCCCTCTTTTTAAGGGAAATAACAAAAATTTTGTTACCATTGCAAAACAAGAGTAAATATTAAAAAAGTCTTTTTATAGCAATAAAATATTTTTGTTATTGTTCTTAACGTAAGCTATTAACAAAGATTTTCTAACTGAAATAAAATTAATTTGAATTACAACGATAGTAATTTAAAAAAGACAAATATGCCATGGTAAAATGAGTTCGACAAAGATTTAATATAAACATAAAGTATTTCTTATTGCCATGAAAATATGATAACAACTATTACTTTGTTGGATGAACATTTTTTTATAAAAGCTCAACATTGCTGCTTCATTATAGTAAATGAGAATTTTATTAACAGTATACTGTTATAAAAAAAGTTTATTCTGTAAATAAAAATAATCTCATTACTTTGACAAATCGTATAGGTTTTATCCAAATAAGACACTGAAACTTTAATAAAAAAGGTACCTTAGGTGGTACATTTTTTTATATCCATTTTTCTGAGTGTAAGACCAATAGACGAGATAAACATTTGACGTGTCCGAAACAACATTAATACCCACAGGGATGCTCCAACTAATTAAAATATAATTATGTCGGTACTTCCTTCAAACGGTAGTTGTATAAGTTTCCAAAAGAGAGCCGTATTTCAAAAAGGTTCCGGACGATTTGGGACTGTGTCGCTTCACGTTCACAGCTAGCACATGTTTTCTTACCGCCGAAAATTTAAATAGGGATGAAGGCGCCACTTGTTGATTTATTACGGAAATTAATTTGCCAAGGAGAAGAAAAGTCAGGTTAATGAGTTCGGAATTTATAGAATGTTTCGAGGTATTTTAATTGCGAGGATAATTTGGAATTTAAGTTTAAATAACCACAAATTTATAACTTTAAAGTATATTTTACGGTTAACCAAAACGGTTTTATAAAACCGTTTTGGTTAACCGTAAAAAATACTTTTAAGTTGACTAGTAGTAAATTTGTAGTTGGGTCGTTTTAAAAAAACACCCGCCTTCCGCTGTCCGTAAGTTTGAATTCCAATAACTTTGTTAAAAATTATCGGATCTTATTGATTTATAAACCATGGTGCCAGTGAAAGCCTAACAAGCCCTTAGTAAACTCTTTCAGAAAATGTTTCGTTATTTCAGAATAATTTTTTTTAATTTTGAAACTTTTGAAACACACATTTTCGCATGTCCCATTAGCGTTTTATAAAACTTACATTTTACATGTTTTTTTTTAAATATTGAATAACATAACACTCTTAGTTAATACAGTAAAAAATTTATATATAAATTAATTAATTTTAATCAACTTTTTTTAAATTTGACTCATGTCTCAGACATTTTTTCCGTTGCATTACGTCCGTCGCGTTACCGATAGAATATTTAAAAAAACATATATATGGCAACTTTTTTGGCACTCACGTGATCAACAAATGATGTTCGGACGTACACATTACCCAGCTGAATTTATTTATTCAATCAGGAAGAAGATATCGGTTGAAACAGGTGCGGGTAACGCGAATGTAATAATTGTTTGTCCGCTAAGTTACTAAAAAAAATAATAAAAATAAGGTAAGAAAAAATAATATTTTTCATGTTTATGTTTATTTTAGGACACTAAAGCTCATTGAGAGTAATTAATGACTGTAATGTCTTATTATTATTTTTTAAATATGGTTTCACAAAACTTTGTCCACTGCGTTACCGAGTCCATTATGTTACCTTATGGTAACGCAATGGAATTTAGGGTAACGCAATAGAATTTTTCGACAACAAAGTGGATATTTACCGTCGCTTTCATTAAAAGTAGTTTATGATAAACCAATTTAAAATTATTTGTGATTACAACTCATGATATAGATTACATCCAAGGAAAAATTCCACGCAATATAAAAGTACTAAAAGGGACCTTCACCAGCTTATAGTCAAAGAAAAAGGGTGTCCACAATTTAGAAATCTCAGTTGTTATTCTGCAAGTGAGCACCACTACAAGGGATTTTGTTTATGCATTACTCTAAAATCGTACCACCCTATATAGTTTCTTTTATACGTTATCTAATTAAGTCCTTTGTGTACCCCAGTCCGTTGTGATACCAATGTCTATTTCGTTACTTTTTTTAGTTTTTGTAAAAAAAAATCCTTAAAATGATTTTACTATCACTTGGTAATACCTGTTTATAAATTAGAGTTTAACTCACTAATACAGTGACTAAAAGAAAATATTAATGGTATTGTTTTTTTAACAAAGAATCGGAATGGTGTCTTTTAAAAAGTCAAAAGTCAATTTAAGCAAAAAAAAATTTTGATCTTCATTTTCCTGAAACCGAGTGTTTCTTGAAAATAACCCATCTATACCGTTATAAAACCGTTTTGGTTAACCGTAAAAAATACTTGTAAGTTGACAAGTAGTAAATTTGTAGTTATTTAAACTTAAAATGCTGCTTGGGTTAACTTGATACTGGAAATTGCCATATATGGGTCTTTTATAGTAAAATATATTATTATATATTAGCCTGAAAAGGGCCATTGCAAGACCTTATTACGACAGCCTTTAATCAAAATTAATATTTTTATTAAAAAACTTCTGTAAAGGCCTAGGACAATGAAAGCTTTTCTTAATCCAAAATAAAATTTTAGGAATTGTCAAATATCTCTGAAATTATAACTTAGGTAGGTATAGGGAATAGTAGTTTTTTAATTCATTATTTGATTAGGTAAAAACATTAACGTTTCAAGTTAGCCCAAATTGCCCTAGGGTTTCTCAGGTAATTTGTTGAAAAATGTTAAAGAATTGACAAATTGTCAAATTTTAACGAAAAAAAAATTGGCCTTCCAAAATATTTAAAAAATAAAATAAACATTAAATAAATTTAAAAAACATTAAAAGCTAAAAACTGCCTAATTACCATCAATACATCAAGCACATCTAGTCATCTAGCCAACATAAAATCGTTTAGAAAATGAATGGGCGCCCGGCTAATT